ACAGTTTTTGCCAATAGATGGCAGAAATGCACAATACTTAACCGACAAAATCATTGCAAATGATTGCAAACTTAAGGTGTTAAGAAAGGGATAGTTTTGAGACCTGTGGATGCATCAAAAGACAGTAAATGATTATAAAGTTTTGGAGCTCATAATTCCTCTCTCACACTGGTATCCCTACAATTTAGTTATCAGAACACTTCTTTGTGTCAGTATAACACAAAGTTATGTCAAAAAAGGCTATAGGGTATTGAAACAAGTGCTGTTTTCACACCACAGATTTTTAACTAAAGCTTCATCTTGAAGCACACTTGCTGGATGGCCAGGAGGCATTCACACCATCAGCTTAACTATCTTAATAAGACACTGCTTTTTCTCCAAAGCCGTCTATCTCTTTCCACAGAGGGAAACCAATTTCCTTCTCCAACTCACAAAAACAGCTGAATATCTACCAGAGATGTTGGAAACAGTATTCTCAGACCAGGAATTTATACTGAGACCACAAGCCTCATCCAAATTACTTGAGATGTCTGTAACAGGACCTGGACAGAATTTGAGCAAGGACTGGAAAAAAGGATCCCCTCTTTTCCATAACTATGCTAATCATCACACAAAGAGATTTGTTCACTATGCTGTGCATGTGTCTACGTTTGCATCTGTTGTCTGTCTTATTTTCCCCACTGTAAATCTTGAATTATTTTCTGAAAAAATAGAACGGCTTCAGCAGCAGCCTAGACTAAAGAGGATCTCAGGGAAGGATGATGAAAAAATCTTCATTATAATAGATTCTATTAGGAATCAAACAGTTTCCATCGCTTGAAATTTTGTACAGTAGAACATCTGAAGTGCTGAAAGCACATGATCAGAAAAAGGAAACAGGTTGTTTAATAGATCTTTTCTATCTTTAATTTCTGTGATTCAATAATATGAGACACTATCAAATCCCTATATTAGACTTTACTTAAATCACTGTAGTTCTAAGGCTGATTGTTCCTCATTCACATGTCCTTGTAAATGTGAAGGCAAGATCATGCCTTACATGTTTAGTCTTCCTCTAACAATACCATCCTGTCAAGGCAATTTATTCCAATACAGTCTGCTCATAAATTCAATATTTCCTTTCTCATAAGCATACAAGTACATGATAAAAAGCATTTCAGTTATTTGAAGTGCCTTTGCTATCACAGAAGATAGAATAACAGTTTTAAGTGGTGTGTAGAGTGTTTGTAAATCATTGCTGAATATAACTGAAAGATGTTCACTTGTTGCAGTGCTCTCCAACTTGGCAGGCTGCAAGCTATCCAAAGAAATGAAGATCTGAATCTGAAACTTAGCTATGATACTCAGATCACGACGACTTTGTGGTTTAAAAAAAAAAAAAAAAAAAAGTTTTACCATGACATTATTTCTCCCATTGCAAATTTTCTGTTTTCATGCAATGGCCTTTTTAGCCTACCTTCACTTAGACTGTAAAGACAGTATCCAGACTCAGCAATGCACTCATTTGGTTAAAATTAACTGTCAAAATTACCTGTAAAATCTCAAGAGCCAGAAACTCCACCCTTTCTGTTATCATTCTTCCCTCGGGAAGATTCTCTCCACTCCACAGAAGCCTGTACTTGAAGTGAAGAATTGTCCTTCTATCACTATCAGAAAGTTTCTTGTACAGTGTTATGGAAGAAGTATTTATGATTTTATAAAGCACAGCTTTAGTTTATGTGTAAGTATCTGCACAAATGCTACTGTCTGCAAAACAGTGTTGGAACAATGTCAAAGGGATCTATATGCAAATGAACATCAGAAGACACACTGATGTTTGTATCTGTACAGTTTTAAGTCAGAGCACAACAAATTTTTATACCGACTGTCAAAGCAATGTATAACACTGAATTACAGATTCGTTAAAGTTTTCTTCCCTTTATCTGCTCCCCCCTAATCTTTCAATAATATGTAGATCATTCCATGTGCCAGCTGTATTCTGCTCATGTACATCCTTTTCTTATGCTACCCTACGCTAGCAAAAGTGATATCCTAGAAATCCTTTCTAAAGGATTTATCAAATGTAAACATTTGATATTTTGGAGGTCTAAAGTACTATTGTGCCTTCAGCTGTACATTAGACAGTCAACACCCTACCATTCCTAGAAACCTTTTGATGGAAAAGCATAATCTGATCCATCTTGCATATTGAATTTTGTTTGCACACTGGAATCTAGGTAGAAGATTAGATTTGAAACAACATCCTTTATGAATACTGATTGAAAATTTCATTTATATACAGCATTTTGAGATACAAAAAAGCATTTTATAAACGACTGAACGCAGAAGAGTAGCGGGGAAAGCGGAAGGCTTCACATACTAAGAGTTACATAACAGCTGAATGGTGGCATTTCTGAACTAGCAGAAGAAAAGGAAAAAACCCACTGGCTTTCCACTATAGTACATTGGAAGACGATACATTCAGACCGCATGTCCTCTGCTATACTTCACATCTTTCTATGAGTATTTAGTGCTCCGAAGGCAACGTTTATTTTTGATTTAGGATGGTTTGGGTTTTTTAAATACTGTTTAAACTGTGTGTTGATACTTACTTTATTGCCAGTTAGCTAAACCAGGACAGTTCTTGTGAAACTGGGAATTCAGGGAGCCATGTTCTGGTGACTTTCATTCTGTCTAGTACTTAGATGAACTCATCACAGCTGACTTACATGAATCAATAGTGAAATAAACTGGGAAGACCCTGATGCACAACACATCCCAGACAATGTATTGTATTTGGGCTCCTAAATGATCTTGCAATTTAAGGCATATAAAGGAATTCTGCTTAATCAGTAACAAATTCTTAAAACATGCAAAGAATTATTGAGATACACTGAAGTCCGAACTTGTTAAATGATTTTTGCATTGCCTAACATTCAGCACTTCCTATTTACATGCCTCGCGAGAAGGCTAACCTCCCTGCGATTCCTATTTCAAATGACACTTGGTGCAGAAACCAGAACTTACATGTTCTGAATCACCCTCCGCACAAGGATATCTCTCTCAATTACAAAAAATTATATAACAGGAGAAATAGGCATCTAACCTGACACCGTAAATATATGGTCCAAACACCCCCCCTTCCCCTCCACTCACCCTCCCAGTCCTGTCACTGTATTACCTACAAGGATGTCCAAAGTATTTGAGCTCCATAGGCAGAGTAAATTTTGCCATCTCTTTAAAAGGTATACAGGAATAGACAATCTTCATTAATACACTTCAGTGTATTTGCTTAAAAACTCTTTCATCACAGCATCTAAAAATAATAATTTGCTGATCTAAATTACAGTTATGTCAGGGACCCCAATAATACACATTTTTGAATTAGTGAATTATTTCACTAAGGATGATTTTCCCTAAAGTGAAAAACGCTTTGGAATAAACACAGTGGAAGCAGGTGCAAAGCTCAAACATTGTAAATATGTCACTCCTAAGATGACTACATTAAAAAAAAAAAAAAATTCCATGCCTCGGCAGGTGACAAATGTCTCAGGAGGATTCCGTGAGAAAACAGGTAAAGCTGAACTATAAACAAGAAACCAATAAAAAGTGACATTGGTGTAATTAAGAGAGATGGAAATCCTTTCAACCCTATGAATAAATGTAAGTACAATGCTTAACTCTGCCTGCAAAATGACATAAATCTTGTAAAAACTATCCAGCAGAAACTGCTAAATGGGCAAACTCTCTCATTATTCCTGTTGGTACTGTTAGTTAGACTGCTATGTCACCATGAGTCAATTATGCAGCCACTTTCCCAAAAGGTATTCATCTGAAATAATCATCTCCTTGCCTTATTTCCCAAATTTTGCAGTTTTGCTATCTTCTCATTTCACATTCCTTTTGTATGGATTCTGTGATTCTAGTTTTTGCTCTTGGATAGCAATCATCTCCAATGATTTCAATCCCAAAGTTCTGGGAAACTCTGATATGTCACATTCAAGTGTGAAAATATATCCTGTTAATTCACATAATGCAAAGAATCTGGGATTGAGTTACAGCGAGTGAAATCAGCAATTTTCTTTTAAGCATAAGCTTGTTTTTTTATTTATGTACCTTCTTTTTTTATTTGATTTCCTATCATAATATGGAACTGTATGACATTTTCTCCTTCAAAAAGCATTACTTTGTTTTACATACACGACAGAAGTATGTGATAAAGACAGTAATCATATGAGGATCTGTAGTGATCTTTTCTTGCTCTTTTACTGCTTTCTTCTTTGGCATACTAATAACCACTAATATGTATAGTATGAACTCTTAACATGGTTATACATTTATTAATCCCCTGAATAAAAACTCCCAAATTTTTACCTTCATTTTAGTTAACTAGAGAGAATGTGCAATTTGTACAAGACACTTCATATGCCACATTATGGGTGCTAATTGATTTATTTCGTCTGCTCTGCTTCATTTTGCATTCCCTTTTACATGTGGCATATTCTTTTCTAATGCATTCCTAGCAGTCCTACACAAATGTTAAGCCCAGTAAGCATCTAAACAAATCTTCCAAATCTGTTGTTTCAGTGGATTTAGAATTTAGCTGTATTGGCTCAAAATGTGAAGAGAATTTCTCGATTTCATTGTCGACAATGATTCATGGCAATCCAGTTCAGTGAATGAATGGTCTGGATCACCTGTTCACGTTGTAAGATAAGACAATGACATCAAATTCACCATTTTATAAAAATGGCCTTACATTACACAGTACTTCCAATCTGGAGTTCACCACCCCTTAGAGCAGGAGATTATATTAATGAATCAAGAACAAAATGGACTTAGTATGTGCTTTTTCTGACATAACCCACCTGTCTGCTGAAATGGCAAATTCACTGCAAAAACAACTTTGGTAACATTCTTCTGCTTATGTGATGCCACAAGATGAAGAAATTCTCCATTAAAATGTGCAAATTTTAAGTTTTTTTATAACAGCTATTAAAAGGAAAAATTAGCTTACTTACCAAGCCAACTTCTGTTTAAATATACTGACACAAACACTGGAGGGACCGTGAAGAAATCTACTACTGAGTTAACTTCTAGCCAAAACCATAGCTTGTCATTGGCTGCTATGAACTGAAAAAAAAAAGAGGGGAAGGGATGAAAGAATCAGATTATGCTCATGGTGGTTGCAAGTATGTGCAATATTGTCCTTTCTAAAATATTAAACTCCAAAGTTAGTGGAAAAGAAACTGGTGTTTTACATCAGTCCAGACAAAACAATATGTCTCACTGGAAAGAAGTCTGTATTGTGCATTGCTTGATAACAGAGACAGATCATTTATACGATGAATTGCAATATCTGTGCTAAAAACCATTTTCTTCACATTTATTAACAATATATCAGTAATATTAGAAAAGCGTAGGTAAGCATAAAACATTTCAAAGTATATCACCTTTGCTCTAGACATGTTGGTAGTAGTCTCAACATGTATTTGCTGTTCACAGGTTTCTAAATACGTGATAGTTTACAAAGAGTCCCATTATCATCCTATCCGGAGGTAATCACCAGGATGACTCCTACAAGGTATAATTCAGGACTGCAGCAGGACTTCAGTCCTTCAAATTGTACCATGGATGAGGTCACTTCTCTCTCCTGACTACAAAAACAGCCTAGGGAAACTGCCAACTTAGATGCCAAGGACATGATAGTTTGAACTTGCCTATCCATCTATGCACTTAAATAAGGTCAAACTACTATTCACATTTAAGTAAAAATTAAAACACACGCCTTATATAAATATGGAATCTAAATATACAAACAAATACAAAATTTTAGTGCATCACAAAGATATTTAACAGAGTGGTTTTACTCATGTAAGTCTGAAAACTGGGACTAACATCTTTCAAAACAGCGCCTGTATTTTTTGAATTACAGACAATATCCATTGACTTTCTTCCAAAGCAAATACTGACATTCTCTATTTCATCCACTTAATCCCCTTGCTCTAGAATTACTTTAACAGAAAATGTTTATGGTGTATACCAACTTTGCTGGAATCCCAGATACAATATTGGAAAGGGGACTCTACTGATGTCAAGAATGTTGAAATCATGCTTAAAAAGAAGACAGACAACATGAGCAGCATTTGCCTAAGGGAAGACTCAAAGCCAAAAGTAAATTGACATTTTGTTAGTCTGTATGACTCAATATCAACGCTCCAGCATGAAAACTGAACTAAAATAATCAGTTTCAGCAGAAGCTTTCAATTCTCTTCTGTTGAATTTACAAGTAGTCCGAAATATTTGGAACTAAAAGCTTTTTAAGATGTCATAACCTGCAATATATGTTCTAATCAGCATTTTATCTTTCCATAGGGCACAACCTTTAGGCTTTCAAAAAGGTTTAAGTGTGTTACTCAGCAATGAAAACAAAGTCTGTTGACTGTAAAGGCCACTCATACTTTTCTATGGAAGTATTTGAACAGTTATTCATTTAGGTAATTAGCAACTAATAAAAGCCCATTTCATTCCAGAAGCAATCCTACCATTCTTGAAGAGATATCACATTCTTCTAGAAGCACTAGCATAGTCTGTCACTTCCAAAGGATTACTTCCATACTTGCCATATCTCTGCCAGACCCTATTGCTTGATTGTGTGCTAACTCATGCAATTTGGGCTTAGTCGTCATCAGCAGTTTGCAGACTTCACCTCTGAGTTCTCACATAGTTGGATACTAGCCAACAAAGATTTTAAGATGGATATATGTGTGTTTGAACACAAAGATCTTCTAGAACTGAAGATATGGTAATATTTATATGATTTTGAGTTGCAACAACATTTCAGGGAGAACAGATGGAAAAGGATGTGGTTTTAAAATATTTAAAATATTCTTCAAATACTTTAATTTACCAGTGAGTCCTCACAGAAGATAATTATCAGAAAAAAACAAACTTAAAATAGCTAAAGGTATGAGATGCTTATTACTTAACTAGTAAATTCATTATCGGTCCAATTCTTGCATCCACACAATCAAGTATCACCTTTTCCTCAGGAACTCCTGTTTAATTCAGGAGGACTTCTTGGAGAAATGAAGCTGTACCTATATTAGCATTTTAACTTAGATAAGGAGTATCAATTTGAAGTAAATCCTTACCATCCCCACTTATCATACTTCAATTTGCATCACAAAGCAGTTTTGGATAACACAAAGATTTGTTTTGGTTGAAACTAAAACAGGTGTTCTAGCAGTGCATCTCACATACTGTTATGCTAAAGTGCATTCAGTCAGCAGGACCAGAGTGGACCCTACAGTACTCTCTCTTCCTTCCAAAAAACACACAGTGTGGATATGAAAGTATTAGCATCAGCTCTCAGTATATTCTCTCTTATTGTGCTCTGCTTCTTGATAATGTAGCCTAAGTTAGTGCTTTGAGTAAGTAAGAGTGGCCAATACGTAATTTTAATTCTCTTGGCAAGAACATACAACCTTATAACTAGCACAAAATTTACGAAGCATTTGGATACTTGTAAAAAAAGTGTTCTTGGAAGTTCACAAGTACCATTCATTGAATCTGTTATGTCAAAAAGTAAACCTATATTGCAGGCCTGGTGGATGTATACAAAAGCCCCCTAAATCCTTAAGAATTAGGGGCTATTACACTATATGTTTTTAAAATACAGTTTAGAATGCATACGTAGTAGTGTAAATACTGAAGGAATTTATCTACTTAGCTAAATGATAGATACTGCACCTGGACTAGGTAATGAAATAACCTACATTTGCAATAAATTCCTTATTTGATCATCAGAAAAAGTTGGTTAGTTTGTCAGAAGTGAAATAGGAGGAACTGAACTATCATTGTGACATAGGAGCTCCTGTGATTCAGGAGCAAAAGAGACAAAGGAAGATCACGAGGCAATACTTGTATCAAATTTAAAGACCAATGTGGCAGGCTTTCTTCTCACATGATGTTCTCCTTGTAGTTCTGTCATGTTTGAGGCCTTTTTTCCCTGATTTTATAACTAACAACAAGCAAAGTTAGTTTTCAAAGCATATTAAAAAAAAAAAAAACAAAACAAAACAAAAAAACCACAACAAACAAACAACTAACCAAAAAAAAAAAAATCCAACAGCTTGAATTGCAAGCATTACTGGCCCAAACTTTTAAAAGTGCCTACCTGTTTTCAGATGTCCCAACTTAGAAATCCTGAAACAGCATTACTGAATTTTCAGAAAGTGCTAAGTATGTTCTAAGGATATACATTTCAGCATGTTAACTAGTATTTACAGCTTCTGCAAAACATTCATTACCAGTCTAGGAAAACGGATGTGCATAAAACTGAACAGCAGCTCTATCAGCTGTTATTTTGACCTTTGACTGCCAAAGACATATCTAGCAGCAGAGGAATATATAAAGTATTCACTAGTCTTGCTGAGGTAGTTATGACTCCATTGAGAACACTGAAACTAGATTCAATGCCACTGACCAGCGCTGAACTGTAATAGTTTTCACTTTCTACCACACAAGAACATTCTGGAACAGATGGCTTAGCTTATAAACTATCGGTCTCCTTAGTGATCTTAGATGCTTGTTTTTATTACCTAAATGTTCTCAATGAAATGCTTTGCTCAGGCATTTTAGAAATTAGCTTAATTTTGTCCAGCCATTGTAAAGTCAGGCTGTATTCAAAGACTCTCCCTATCTAATAGGTATATTCCCTCCCTGACTCATGCTATCAAAGACACACTACTTACACGCAAGCCGAAGTAGAGTAGGAAGAACACATTGAAAGCCATGTCGATCTGTAATGTGAAATCTTTGTAGAAATTCTGGCAGGATTCTATTGGGCTATTTGAAAGAAAAAGAAATCACAGTAAATTGTCAGTATATGAGTTTCTACTCTGGTGAGATTTTTATGCATTTCATTAAAGACCTTGATTCAGAAATCACATTTCTATTTTCCAGTCGTTTACAAGATACAAGCAAGCATTTCAAATGAATTATTTCATTCATTCAGTTAGTCATTCATACAGTCTTTATATTCACCTGTTCAGGTAATATCTGAGAATTAACATGCAGATACCTTTAAAAAAGGACAAGCAGGAGAATACCTCAGGATTCCTTAACCCCACATTAACCCTTAAAGAACTGACTTCTTTCTAAAGGAGACATACCTATGATACTTTAGGAACAAACCTAACAAACACACAGCTACAGTGAAACATTACATGTTTTCAATTCATGTCGTAATATAAAACCTTAAAAAAAAAGTAGTTGCTTAGGAATACATTACCCATTAGCAACCTGGGGTACTTAGTCTTGTAGAATACCTTGTTTATAAGAAGTTGGGTTTGGTTTGTTTGGTTTTTTGTTTTGTTTTGGGTTTTTGTTTTGTTTTTCTTTTTCTCACTTCTTTTTTGTGTATGGCTATTTAATGTACTTTATGTACAGTACTATGAGCTAAGTAGAAAAGCAGCATAGCCCACTGGTAAAATTAAATAACAAAATAAATTGAGGAATTTGAAGCAGTACTCTAAGGGTTAATTTCTGCATGCAGGTTAATTAAAATACCTTTGTGTGTGTCAGGCAGCCATTGCAAATTCTAGCTTATTATATTATGCTTTAATAATAGTCGGACAGGTCCAAAGCATACTCTATACAAACTGGTACTTTATAGATATACTTTTATCTAAGGAAGGAGATAACTTCCACGAGTATGATTAGTGATTTATTTGTGAGGTTTCCAAAATAGGTTGGTGAAGCCACAGAACAATGTTGAAGTCACAGACCAAAGTGAAAGTCATGTCCCAATATATGCTGATGTATATACTATATATACATAACGTCCCACCATATATACATATATATACACACATATATTGCAAATGATCATGTATTCATTACAATCGTAATAAAGTGGAAAACTAGAACGTAGATCATTTGATCATTTAGAACCCTAGAAAACATCCTTTTAGGAAAGAAGAAATTCTTTGGCTTCCCAGGTCAAATAAATCACTGAATGTGAATGTAATACCAGTTAGTATAGCGGTAGCTCTGCAAATATAATGCTAGACTGCTCAACAAGCAAGATTCTATGCGTTATGAATGTCAGTTACCTAATTTAAGGCATAAAAGAAATTACCTGGGCTACCAGGTCATTACACATGCAACCAAATTTTCCATTCCTTGTATACATTACAGGTCAAACAAGTTAAGTACAGCATGCCCTCTCCTGTCTTTAGATACATGAATGTATACAGAAAAATTCTCCTTGATGTACAGTAGCTTTATATTTTAAGAAGCTTCAGTGCTACAGGAAATGATATTAACATGTTTTTTTAAAAGGTATTTGCAAAGACATTGAAGTTATGAAACATTTCTGTTATCATTCAAATAAAATTGATTTACAAAAGCAGGCAGAAGGGAAGAGAAGCCAAATGTTAACATATAGGACAGAAGACAGCACCTCGTACTTTACAAATACAGCTTTAGCTACAAAAAGAGTGGATGTAATCCGAGAACCCAACAGGATCATTTTCTGTATGGCATTATTGAGAGCAAAGGATTTTGTCAAAATACTGTAGGCTACACACTGAGTCACTGTGCAGCCTATCAACAGAAATCACAGGAAGTACAGCAGAAGCAGAATGAACAACCCTGCACCAACACAGAGGCTTGGACCCTTAATTCCAGGTTAGGTTCCTGTAAAAGCTGCAGAAATTCACTGAAGATAATGGAATTGCACAGATTTATAAACTAGGATAGAGAGCTTCATTATCTTCCCTTCCACAGTTATTTGGCACTTGTCATGATTGTTAGACAAGGTCAGCTAAGGTTGCAGCTAACGGCTGTACTTTTGTACCATTGTCCTTTACAAAAACCTACAAGATCCAACAAATTAGCTAATGCATAATACACCTTCATCTTGTTTGCAAAACACTTAGCACAGTGGACCACAATCCTGATTTAGGACTTTTGTTTACCTCATACCAGGGCTACTTTTTCTGCTAGTAGTATCCCTAAAGCATCCTTCATTTCAGAGATCATTCCTCTCTCTTTCAATTTCTAAGTTATCCATTTCAAAGACAAACATAACGTCCTTTCCTTTTTATTTTAAATGATGATTTTGTCAGAAAGGCATGTCATTAAGGCTAAAGAAATTATTATTTATAGTCACAGGATGGATTATAGAAGATTTTAAATTTTCCAAATTAAATTTTGGTGATATTCTTCAGTTTGGATTTTTTGTTTCCATCAGTAGCTCACATTTGAGCTGAGAGAAAAATACAGCCACTAATCTTTATCATTGCACCATTTAGCCTGCTGCAGAAAGGAAGCCAATTTGAAACTCCTCGTTACATCAAGTTTCCCAAAAACAGAAGTGCTACAGTTCTTAGGGTTCCAGACAACAGTGTGCTGGGGTCTCCAGGACTAATAATATATTCCCTGTTTTACAGTAAAATCAGATGGCTTGTCTATGGAATTTCACCTCTTTAGGTCAGCAAAGGTTTCACCTTTGAAAAAGGCAACACTGTTAGAAATGCTTTTATTACTCTTCCATGTAAGCGTACTTCATTGTAAGTGTGGTTTCATGCATTTACACCGCTAAAACCCAGGAGAAACTGTAGCATTATACTAACAATGATAGGAAAGATTTAACATAACTGGATAAAAATTACAGTAATGATGTAACTCTAAATGCAATATTTACATACACTTTGAAAGAGCGTCTTTAATTTGCTACACAAAAATTGAAAAAAATACACTGTAGCCATGACTTCTTGGGTTTTGAAAAGAAAACCTCATAGCCTCCATTTTATTTTACTTAACATAGGGATATCCTGCTTATAATCTATCAAGGACTATAATTCCCCTTTGCCCTGCCATCCTTTTATGTAATAAACTAAATGCTACAAGCAATGCCTGGGCTACACAAGCAAGATGTGAGAGACTGACAGTTTTCTTCAGGTCAACGTTTATATCAAGTTATCGTCTGCTGCAACTGCGTGCTCTGTGCTACAACTTAATATAAAAATCACATCTAAAGAAATAACAGTGGGCTTAGTTTGCCTAATCTGCAGTAAAGACAGAACATTATTTGATTTTTCAGGCATGCACTACACTGTCTTAATTCTCTTCCTCTCCTGCTCTTTAAACACTGCTATTCGTTTCAGTTTCACATTACCTCTATTTACTTGTTCTGTTTATTATTACAGCATTTTTATAGCAATACTTGTAGTTATAAAGCCCTGTTATATAGGTATCATTAGCATAAACTAGTTCAGTGAGCAAGAGTGACTACAAAAGAAGTAACAAAATTACTCCAGTTCAACTTTACACAGATCGGGCAAAATTTTGACAAAGCATTCCCACCATCCTAAAACCTTTCTCACAATCGACATTGAAGCCAGCACTTTACACAACACTTTTATCACAGCTGAACAAATTAATGAACCCGTTGTCATTTCAATTCAAAAGAATTTACTGGTGTTTAAATAACTACTTTTGTCACAAGTTTATTTCATGTATTTATTTATTATTCTCACTTATTTCTGGTTCATTTGAAATGCTTCTAATGCATTTGAAATGGTTCTACTGGGATTATCCTTTGAATAGTCATAGAATGAGTGGGAGAGGGCAAAAAATAGTATGTATTTTAATGTTTTCTGAAATTATTTGGTTCTGTGAGCATATTAATATGAAACTTGCCACAGAAGAAGCCTTCATAGAATATTTCCAGGATTCTGCAATTGCAACAGAGTTTCAAATATCTTGAGTGTTTTTTCCTGTATCATTTCACCTCTTGGCAGGAGCTGTAAAGCCCATTTCCAACTTCAGATCAAAGCCTTGGCACGACATACCAATCTATGTCACATCACTGCCACTATGACCACACAGAAGTAAGGGAAAGAAATTCTATGTTCATTCAGACGTTAGGCCAGCTTTGCAATCATAGTGACATCTATCTGGATGATTTTACATAAAGTGTTCCCCACAATAACGGGAAAGCTTGTGCACACTTAAATTGGTATTTGAAATAACTATCCAATGTGCAATTTACCGTTCTCTGTTCTTTCTGTGTAAGGAAGTGGACTCTTGTATTTTTGGCACATGTTACGTTAGTCTGCTCCTCATGTTTTTAATTATATACCAAAATACAAAAGGTTAATTTTAAGACATATTATTCTAGTTACATTTTGCCAAGTGTTTTAAAGATAAGTTCTATGTAAAACATTAATAAACCACCACAAAATAAAATTACTTGTACTGTAACTTCAGGAAAGTACTGATGTTAATATTGTACCACAGCTGCTACATCTTTGGAACTTTAAGAAGTTATTGAAACTTTTAGAAATTCAGAGAATTTTCCTAATTTAATTTAATTTTTGGAAGCAAAGTTGTCTTCTGAATCGTGTAGGAAAGGCTAAATCCATTATTGAAATTAGATAAAATATATTTATCTATATTTCTGTTCTTAATATTAAGCAAATAAAATGTAAAAATGAAAAAGTTGGAACTAAAAAGTTGTTACAAACTTAACGTGCCTGAGAAAGAAATACAACAACCTGATACTATGAAAAATTAGGAAGTTTTTCATTTTCTTTGCTCATGACAGTTTTTAGATTGCACAATAGTACATTATATGAAAAACCAGTAAAATGTGCAATTTCTATCAGAAGGAATGTTCATTGATGAGACTGAATTTTAAAATATAATTATGTACTGCAGCAGTAAAGGCTGCTAAAATATAATCAACACAACTGAATAAATAATTGAGAGAAACCACTCAATATTTAGAAGCTCTCATCATTTGTCAATGACCAGCTGGAGTGCATGGAGCTCTGCCT